AACAAACAAACATAAATGTGGGGAAAAATTCATCAGACATTTCTAATAAAAAATATAAAATACATCTCTAAAGATGGCCAACAGGCCCAGAAAGAAGTGCTCAAGCTCACTGATTATCAGAGAAGGAGATGTATTCAGTATCGGTGGAAATGCAAACAGGTTCAACCCCAATGAAAAGGAGTATGAAAATTTTTCTAGAATTTAAAAATGGAATTAGCATATAATCTAGCAATTCCACTAGAATTAAATTATCCCAAGAATACAGTAATTATTAAAACTATTTTATAGTTCAAAAAGATATATCCCCAGGTATGCTTACAGCAAGTGCTATTTATAATAACCAAGATGTGGAAAAAACCTATGTGTCCTACAACAGATGAGCAGATAAAGAAATTATGGGTGCTCGCTTCGGCAGCACATATACTAAAATTGGAACGATACAGAGAAGATTAGCATGGCCCCTGCGCAAGGATGACACGCAAATTCTTGAAGCGTTCCATATTTTTTCACAATGCTTTTTCAGCATGTCTGATTTGGGGGGAGGGGTAAACTCTAAATAATAGTGGTGAATCTTTTATTGAAACAATGAATCTAATCAAAGCAGATAGAGTGTTAACTAGAATTCATCTGCCCCACAGGGACTGGGAGGGGTGGGGGGTGGGGTTTTATTGGGGTTCTTCATGGTAAAAAATAAGTTTTGGTAAAGGGAAATGTGTTTGATATTTGCATGACTGAGACCTAAACCTGAAAGCTTTGTAACCTATCCCACGGTGATTCAATAAATAAATAAATAAAAAGGAAAAAAAAAGAAATTATGGTACATATACACAATGGTAACTACTCAACTACAAGAAATATTGGGGCTATTAGGGCTGGAGAGATAGAACAGTGGGTAGGACACTTGCCTTGCACATAGCCAATCCAGGTTCAGTCCCCAGAACCCCATATGATCTCCTAAGCATCACCAGGAGTGATGCCTGACTGCAATGCCAGGAGTAAGCCTTATCACCCAAAGACAAAAACAGTGAAAAAATATTGTGGCCAGAGCGATAAATAGTATAGCAAGTAAGGTGCTTATCTAGCATGTGGCTAACCCGGTTCAATCCTCATGCCCCATATAGACCTCGAGCACATCCAGGAGTGATCTCTGAGCTCAGAGCCAGAGATTAGCACACCCAGTGCTGTTCAGGACGTGGTCCCAAAACAAAACAAAACAAAAAACAATTATAAGAAATATTGAAGTCTTCCTTTTGTTTCAACAAAGATAGAAATGGAGGAAACTATGCTAAGCAAAGTAAAAGACAAATCCTGGATAACTTCATTTATAGACAGTAGGGAGAAACAAACCAAAGAGAAGAGACAATGTCTAAAACGCCCCTTGTAGAACACAACTGTCATACATCAAAGACTAACTGTCACACAACAAAAGAGACTGGTCAGGGATATAGCTCAAATTGTTGAGCACATGCTTTGCACTCAGGAGGCTCAGGTTTAATTCATGGCATCATATTGTTCCATGAGCACCACTGTAGTGATGCCACAGCACAGAGCCAGGAGTAGTTCCAGGTACCATCAGGTGTGGCCCAAATGCCCCCAAACAAAAAAAAAGGATAGAGACTAAAAAGAACATAACTAAATGCAATGTGGTATCCTGGATTGGACTAAAGCACAAAAATAGGAACATCAGTGGGAAAATGGTGAAATCCAGCTAAGTTCTGTACTGTAGTTAACAGCTTTATACTAACATTGATTTATTGGAGTTAGTTGAGAACTGTTGTTTGGTGAAAACATTAACATAAGATGCAAAGAGATAGCACAGTAGGTAGTGTGCTGGTTTTGCATGGGTCATCAGAAGTTCAATCCCCTGCACTACATATGGTCCTGCGAGTACCACAAGGAGCCTGCCCTGAGCACCAAAAAACAAACAAAAAAATCAACATAAATTAACAAAAATCAACAAAATTTCTTCTAAATTAACCTGTAATGAATTCTGTCAGATGGAAATAGAAAAGTAAAAAAATAATAAGCAGCTGGAAAACTACTTGTCATTGCCTGTTTTTCCCAACCATTCTATTTCCTTCAAATCCATTAACAGCCATTTCATCTTTTCACTAATTTCAACTTCCAAGCTACCTTTTGACTACAAAATCCCTTTATAGTAAACTTTGTGTAAACAAGGTACATGTCCACTTTTTCCTCTCCATTATGTCCCTAGAACTTAGCAAAGCTCAAGTACATTGTAATTAGTGAAAATTTACAGCTAAATGAAAGGTAGCTCCAAATATTGCATTCCTTTCCTATAGCTTCTGTAACAAACAACCATAAATTTTGTGGCTTACGAGTAACAGAAATTCAATATCTTCCAGTAGCAATTAGAAGCCCCAAATAAAGCCTAGAGAGAGCACAGCTAACAGGATGTTTTCCTGGCATGTTGGCAATCTGGGGTCAGTCAAGGACTGCATGTGGTCCCCTGAGCATGCCTGGAGTGATCCCTGAACACAGAGCCAGGAGTAAGCCCTAAACACTGCCTATGGTGCTCTGGGGTCCTCCAGGGCTATAGCAAGCAATGTTCGGGGAACCATGTGGTATCAGGGATTAAACCCATGTTAGGTGCACATGTATGCCTCACATGCACTATACCTCACCCCCAGATTTTAAAACAATCATTTTTGTATATAAAAATAATCATATATGTGAACAAAAGAATTCAGAAAGATAAAGACTAGTTTATTTAAAGTATCTTTAAAGAAGTAGAATTTCCTGTGAATTTGATGATTGTTTTCTCTTATTATCTAATATTTCTACTAATACATACCTTGTAAAGTTCTTAAAGAGTGAAAATGAAATGAATATAAAAACAAGCAAACCCAATTCATGCATACACCTTTCAGGAATTACTAGTCTCTTGACTGCTATGCTATTTACATTCCAAGTAGTCATCAGAGCACTTCCACATGGAAAGAACTTTGAAGGTTTTGTAATATTGGAGCCCTAAATCACACTCCAGAATTCTAGAATCAGAATCTCTGGAAAATACACTCTAGAGCCTGTATTTTGAATCAACACCAAGTCTTACAGACATAATGTCAAATAAAAACCTTAAGTGGCTCTCAATGCCCCTTTTGCAGACCACAACACCCAAAAGGAGAGAGAGAACACAGGGGATTGCCCTGCCACAGAGGCAGGGGGGATGGGGGGGATGGGGGTGGGGGGATATTATCCATGGTGGTGGAAAATGGGCACTGGTGGAGGGATGGGTATCTGATCATTGTATAATCAAACCAAAGCACAAAAAATTGTAAATCTACTACTGTACCTCATGGTGTTTCACTAATAAAAAAAGAAAAAATAAAAAAAAAACCTTAAGTGGCTAAATTTATAGTAAATTTAGAATGGGTGAAATAACTGTACACACAGAGATACCACTGGATTTTGGACATCAAAAATTTGTACTTTGTGACTGCCTATACTAGATTTTAATCTTAAGCATCTCATGTGGTCACTAATTACTTTCTATGAGCTGAGTGAGGCCAGAAAGACTTTCCTTATATTCTATTCACATCTACCTGAAACTAGCTTTCTATGTCTTGTTCAGTTCTTCATAGTTACAAGTATCAAACAAGGGTCAGAGAGATGCCACAGGTGTTAAAAGACCTTGCATGCAGCAGACCAGCTTTGATCAAGCACCTGACCACCACCAGAAATAATTCCTGAGCACAGAGCCAAGAGTCAGTCCTGAACACTTCCAGGATTAGGGTTAGGGTTAGGGTCAAAAAACAGCTCAATCATCTGAGTACATGCTTTGCATTTGGGAGGCTGAGGTTGGAGTCCCAGTACTACATAGTCTACTGAATACTACTAGGGCTAAAAACTCACCCTCAAGCACAGAAAATAAGCAGTCCCCAAGCACTGGTGGTCCAAATCTCCTCCTCCCTAAAACTAACAAATAAATACTTGCTATGGAATCAAATAGCAAGGCAATTCAATAATTCTGATAGTTTTATTTCTCCTTTATTTTCTTTTATTGATATCTGAACTATACCTAGCAGTTCTTGAAGGTTATTCCTAGATCAGTGCTTGAGGATCTTTCTGGAAGTCTCAAGACTATGTGTTAGAGATCAAAACTAGGGATCCCACATATAAAACCTATGCTCTAGCCCTTTGAAGCTTTATTTCTCCTTTCTAAAAACATAAGTCAACTAATATCAGTAGATTCTGGTGATTATGTCTTCCAGAGACCCTCTCTGGAGTCAAGAAAAAGGCATAGGGGAGTTTCATTAATAGAAGTCCTCAAAGTATCATGGAAACCATTGCCATTGGGAAAACAGTACAGACAATTCCAGTTTTATCCCCAGCATCATATATAATCCAGAAAGCACTGTAAAGAGTGATTTCTGAGCACAAGGTCAGGAGTAAGTCTTGAGTACATTAAGCATAGCTTCCAAACCAAAAACAAAACATTTTTCTCTAAAAACAGATTCCCAAAAGTTTGTTAAACGATAAAAGGGAAAAGGGAAATATCTCTAACACACTACACTGTGAAACATTTAGTATAATTATAAACTTCATAAGGCACACATATAAAAATTGGGGGGAAAGTTTGAGCCTGTGAGGTAGCTCAATGGGCTAAGTGGATGCTTTCCATTCAGGAAAAAAGGATTGATCTCCAGGACCTCATGGTTCCCTAAGCAGCACTGCTGGGAGTAGTCCTGAGCACTGCAGGGTATGGCCTAAAACCCAAAACAGAAAAAAAAGAATTTAATTTTAATTTTTAATCAAGAGTTTTGGGAATTTCCTAAAATTGATAAAAGCATTTACCAAAGAAACTCGTTTATCCTTAGAATGAAGAAAACAACAGATCAGCATGAACTCTTTAAGATCTATAAAAAGGAAGGGGAAAGAAAATCCCTTAGTTTTATTGTAATCCATAATACATTGTAGTCATGGATCTCTCAGAAGACCATTGGAATTTACTAATGCCGAGAAGATTATATACCCACCTGCAGCTCACACCAGGCAACCTCAACCCATGTCTCAGTGTCCAATCCTTTATAGACTGTTTTAAAAGCTCCTCTTCCAAGCTCTATATCGAACTTCAGGAATCGACCACTAGGGGAAGTAGCTACTGCTTTCATTTCTGCTTCTTCTTCTATTTCCTTTTCACTTTTCTCCTTGAAACAATCTTTTGAGGATTCTGCAGTTTCCTTTGAACAGTGTTCATATTTAACTTCTTGTCCACCTCTTAGTACGTTTGTAGGAAGCTTTTCTCCTCTTGGAATGTGTGTTGCTGTCTTTAGTCTCTCATCTTTGGGTGAAGATTCTATAACTTTGTCATCTTCTGTCATCTCAATGCTCTTTCTAAAGAACCTCTTCCTTTCTTTTGTTTCCCTAGAAGCAGAGATGGTACTGGTTTTCTCCTTGAGTATAGCTTCCACTGTTAAATTTGCAGCAACCTGAGAAACTTGGTTTTCTAAGGAAACTCCATCAGGTTTCTCAGAATCTTCTGTGCTAGCTGCTTCCCCTGAATCAGTAGCCATTGTACTTAAGGTTGGCACTAAACTTTTTCCTATTCAGCTCTTCAGTCCAGTTACATCTCAGTATCAGAATGATCAGAATTGACTTCCTTTTATATTATCGTAAGTTTCCATAGAAACCTGAAGGGGGAAAAATAATATTTTAAAATCACCCCACAAAGGAAATCATTAAAGAGACAAGTCAGCTGATTATTTAATCCCTTCTTTTTTCTTAATAAGAAGTTTGTTCTTTTTGATATCCAATCTTAGCAACCAGCAGGCTCCAGGGACTTGTATTATTTTGCTTACAACTGTAGTTATCAGTACTAAGCAGAATAGGCACAGGATTCAATGATTATTCATAGCATGCGAATATTAGTTAGGAACCTAGTGTTCAGTCCCATGTACCAATCCATCATATTAAAACAAGTGACCAACCCTTTAGTTCACAGGGTAACACACTAAATAAAACCAGCACATATTAAACATGTTTATCACTTTGATGTATAGAATTCTGTGTCAGTAAGTAAACTCACAATTTGCAATCATCACCACTATCCACTTCTAGAACTTTGTCATAATCCCAAATTGAAATTTTGTATCAACTAAACAAGTATACTGTCCCAGGACCTCAATCCCTAATAATCCTTATTCTCCTTTCTATCCCTATAAATTTGCCGATTCTAGGTATTTATATTATGTAAAATCAGGACATAAAAGTATATTTATGTCATGTAAAATATACTTGTCCTTTTCTATTTGACTTACTTCACTTAACATAATGTTAAGGTTCACTTGTGTTGTAGCATATATCAGAAAGTCATTATTTTTTAAAGACTGATCAAAATTCCATTGTGTGATGATACCACAGTATATTTTTCACTCACGTGGATAAGTGAAGGGCTATTCCTACCTTTTGACTATTGTGAATAATGCAAATTCTTCTTTAAGAGTCTATCTTCATATTTTAACAGGTAAAAACTGTCAAATATTAATACACTCAACTAAAAGGGAGAATTAAAAATATGCATCTTCTAAAGAAACTATGGTATATATACGCAACTGGACATTAATCAGCCACTAAAAAAAAGATGAAGTAATATAATTTACTGCCAGATGGATGCATCAGAGAGTATCACTGTTGAGTGAAAAGTCAGAGAGGATAGACTCAGAATGATCTCTCTCATATGTAATATTAAAAGAAACTTCCTAGGAAAATATCAACTACACAAAGGCAACAGAAATGAAGAGCAGGAAACTGGTCTTCAGTAGGAAGCTACCTATTGGGTAGGAAGTCACGGTCACAGTCCTCCCGTTATTCATCGATTTGCTCGAGCAGGCCCAGTAACATCTCCATGGTCAGACTTGTTGTTATGTGTTTGGCATATTGAATACATCACGGGGAGCTTGCCAGGCTTTGCCGTGTGGGCGAGATACTCTGGGTAGCTTGCCGGGCTCCCCAAGAGTGGCGGAGGAATCAACTCGGGTCGGTCATATTGGCGACTTGCAAGGCAAATGCCTTACCTGCTGTGCTATGGCTCCAGCACGGGTAGGAAGTATGGGGGGATAAGTTAAGGAAGGGAGCACTACAATTTTGGGGGGAAATGTGCCTGCCACAGAGGCAGGTGGTGGGTGAGGGATGGAAACTGGGGGCATTGGGAGAGGCTACTAGACAGTGGTGAAGGGATTGGTGTTGAAACATTGTATGCCTGAAACTCAATCATAAATATCTTTGCAATTCATAACAATTCAATAAAAAATTTTAAACTGTATCCACTAAAATCAGTAAATTCACTTACAGGAAATTGTCTTAGAAGGTAATCAAAAAATCTATGTAAATATTTAACCATAAATGTATGTTCTTTTTTAAAATAATTTTTATTAGTGAAATACCATGAGGTACAGTTGTAGACTTACAAATTTTTGGCTTCGGTTTCGATTATACAATGATAAAACACCCATTCCTCCACCAGTGCCCATTTTCCATCACCATAGATCCTTTTATTTGGTGCTTCCTTCTCTATCTGAGCTGCCTTTTCCCCAACCATGCCCGGCTGACCTCTAAGCTATGGAGTAATCCTCCTGGTACTTATGTATGCTATTCTTGGGTATTAATATACTATTTTGTTACTTTATGTCCCCCAGATAAATGCAATCTTTTTATGACTGTTCCTCTCTTTCTAACTCATTTCACTCAGAATGATACTTTCCATGTAGTATCACTTGTATGTAAATTTCATGACTTCGTTTTTTCTAACAGCTACATAGTACTCAATTGTGTAGATGTTCCAAAGTTTCTTTAACGAGTCATCTGTTCTTGAGCACTCAGGTTTTTTCCAGATTCTGGCTATTGTAAAGAATGCTCCAATGAACAAACAAGTGCAGATGTTACTTAGACTATACATTTTTGCCTCTCTGGGATATATTCCCAGGAGTGGTACTGCTGGGTCAAATGGGAGCTCAATTTCTAGTTTATTGAGAATCGTCCATACTGTTTTCCAAAAGGGCTGAACCAGTTGGCATTCCCACCAGCAGTGAAGGAGGGCCCCTTTCTCGCCACATCTGCGCCAGCACCAATAAATGTATGAAGAAACAACACAAATTTCCACTACGAGGAGAGGAAGAAGAGTCCTGAACCCTCAACAGTGATTACCCACAAATACGATCTCTCCGATAAAGAATTCCGAAAAAGATGCTGAAGATGTTCAAGGAACTATTCAAAGAATAAATGGAGCAGACATCCAGAATATTAAAGAAGAAATGAAAGAAACAGTGGAACAGATAGTCGAGAAAATACAGGAAGAAATGACAGCAGAAATAAGAAAGCTACAAAAAGAAGTGTTCCAAATAAAGGATTCGATAGATGAAGTTAAAAATTCAGTGGGTGCCCTCAGCAGTAGAATATCTACAGCTGAAGACAGAATTAGTGATCTTGAAGATGAGCAACAGAAATCGTACAGGCAACAATAAACAATGGGAAATGACCTCAAGATAGCTCTAAGGCGAATCAGAGAACTAGGGGATGAAACCAAGAGGAACAAAATTAGAATCATCGGAGTACCAGAAGGACAGGGAGGCAACCCCAATGAAAAAGCCACAGTGATGAAATATTTGCTGAAATGTTCCCAGAGTTAAAGAACTCAGACATCCAGATCCAAGGAGCCAGAAGGGTACCAGCTAAAAGAAACCCTAATAAAAAAAACTCCAAGGCATATCATAGAATGATGGATGCTGTGGAAAGAGACACAATACTACAAGCAGCAAGGTAGAAGAAGGAAATCACATACGAAGGAGCACCCCTTAGACTCACAGCAGACCTATCAGAGGAAAGCCTCCAAGCCCGAAGACAATGGTGGGATATAGTGAAAAACTCAATGAAATGAACGTCTCACCAAGAATACTTTATCCAGCTAAACGCTCATTAAAATTCGATGGAAAGATACACCATTTTATAGATAAACAACAAATCAGGAACTTCATAGACTCAAAAGCAAACCTAAAAGAAGGACTAAAAGGGCTCCTGTAATTCAAGAAGGAAAATACCCATAAAAACAACAAACCCTTACAGAAAGATGGCACAAAATGCCATGACAATAATCTCTCTCAATGTCAATGGTATAAATGCACCAATCCAGAGACACAGAGTGGCAAAATGGATCCAGAAACTGAAACTTGTAGCCATTCTGCTGGCTACAAGAAACTCATCTGAACAGTTAAAGCAAACACAGACTCAAAGATAAAGTATAGAAAATAATCCTGCAAGCAAACAACTTCCTCAAAAAGGCTGGGGTGGTCATACTAGAATCTGACAACATAAAGTTCAGGTTGAAAAAGATTAGAAGGGACAGCGAAGGCCATTTTCTATTTATCAAAGGATATGTACAACTAGAAGAAATCACACTCTTAAATGTATATCCACGCAATGTGGGACCAGATAAATGCTTAAAACAACTGCTAACAGATTTTAAGGAGGACATTACCAGCAATACAATAGTATTCGGAGACTTCAACATTGCCTTATCACCTCTGGATAAATCAACAAGAACAAAACTCAGTAAGGAAACACTGGCTTTGAAGGAAGAAATAGAAGAGAGAGCGCAAACAGACATATACAGTACTTTTTACCCCCAAAACAAAGACTATACATTCTTTTCCGGTGCACATGGAACATTCTCTAAAATAGACGACATGTTGGGTCACAAAACATATCTCAATAGAATCAGGAAGATGTTCAATCAACTCAATGAAACAGTCAGACAGATATCCAGTAAATTGAAACAGGACATGAAACAAACAATGGATCGCACAATCGAGAAAATACAGAAAGAAATGAGAGCAGAAATTGGAAAGCTATGCACAGAAATGTCACAAATGAAAGATTCCATAGATGAAATAAAAAACTCAGTGTGTGCCCTCAATAATAGAATGACCACAGCTGAGGAAAGAATCAGCTGCACCAAGCCAACAGGCAACAACAAACAGTGGCAAGGAACCTCCAAATAGTTCTACAAAGAATCAGAGTCCTAGGAGACGATTCCAAGAGGAACAACATTAGAATCATTGGAATACTAGAAGCTCAGGGAAACAATCCCAATGAAAAAGCCACGGTTAAACAAATCATCGCTGAAAAATTCCCAGAGGTGCACAATGCAGCCATTCAGATTCAAGGAGCCCGAAGGGTGAAAGCTAAAAGAGACCCTAACAAAAACACAACAAGACATATCATAGTTAGAATGAGTGATGCTGCCGACAGAGACACAATACTGTAGGCAGCAAGGTCAAAGAAGAAAATCACATACAAAGGAGCACCCCTTAGATTCACAGCAGATCTATCAGAAGAAGCCCTCCAAGCCCGAAGGCAGTGGCAAGATATAGTGAAAAAAAAACTCACTGAAATGAATGCTTCACCAAAAATTCTCTATCCTACTAAATTCTCACTCAAAACTGACGGAATGGTACACGATTTTCTAGATAAACAGCAGCTCAGGAACTTCATAGACTAAAAACCAAACCTAAAACAAGGGGTAAAAAGGCTATTATAATACAAGACAAGCCCTACAACCACAACAGACCCTTACAAAATGATGACATAAAACTCCATAACAGTAATCTCTCTCACTGTCAATAGTCTAAATTCACCA